AAATGGTGTGTGGATTTTCTAAGAACTAGGTAGGCGAAGCTTTTCGGAGTTACAACTGACTGTCTGAAGGACTTCTTTAGGCAATGTGGCAGAGGTGTGGTCAGTTGCCAATGCGACGCTGAATCGTGAATTGGTGGAATTGTGTATTCCACTGATTGCGAGGTATTTTGAAACTCTGTATTTGCAAGGCGAGATGCTGATGCAAACAACAGTGGAGCACTTTGAGGTCCTGCTGGAGAGGATTTGGCAAGAAGGTATGAGTGAGGAAACCAAGTTTCGAGCGATCTCTAAATGGCTGGATGCAGGACGCATGGAGTATGATGTGAAGGAAAGGTCAGAGGCATTTACAAAGATAATTTCTAAGATTGACTTGCCTAGGCTATCTCCACCGTGTCAAGCTGAGTATTGGGAAATTGTAAGAAAACATTTCGAATGGATCAAGCCGATGCCTCACCCTTCCTCCAACTGTCTATCACATTTCAGGTACATACATCATTTCTGCTAACAGCATGACCACTCTTTCAAACTCCGAGTAACCAATTCGATAAGTTCGCCGATTTTTATGATCTAACACTGCTGAATTGCCTTTATCATAACAACCTTAATGGCATTCTGAACTCTCTCATGGTGCTGATTCTTTGAAAATATCTAGGGAGGTGCTTATGATCGTTGGAAAGGATACAGGTTCGGGATCATTCGTTTTGAAGTCTGTGCCGCAGTTGCAACCGGACGAAACGTTTAATGTTGAAGTTCCAAGCCATGATACATCGACCTTACTGAATGGTAAATTGAACAGGTGGATCTATTCCCCTACCTTCTAGGCACATTTTATGCCTTCTGTCTTTGGAGTGACACAAGTAGTTTTTGTTCCGTAAATTTCCGAAATGGATGCGTTTTGGAATTCCCTTTTAAAGGGGAGAAACGCACATCATATTCTGTCTCTGCGAGAAATGAATCAATCTTTATTTTTGGTGGCTGCAAAGGAGATGACGTTGTTCCGACTTGCGAAAAAGTGGACACTGCCACGGGCGAGTATGTTTGATGAAGCTTGGTCACCAATTTTAGGTTCACTCGACTCCCAGACATGCCATCAGCGCGTTCTCGTGCTTCGGCCTTAAATATTCCAGACATCGGAATCGTAGTTGTTGGTGGATGGACTGAGAAATGCTTAAAGTTTGCTGAAATTATGGTAGAAGATCCTTTGCATAAGAGCGGATGGCGATGGATGAGGCTCGACCCGATGTTAGAGGTACGCGCACGTCCAGGAATCGCCTACATCAATGGATGCGTGGTGGTTGCTGGAGGGCAATAGGGGAATGTGGAGATCACTGTTGAATGTCTCACTCTGACATCAGTTGAACAATCCACAGCTCAGTGGACTCGCCTTCATGGAGTTGATCAGTTGTGCACGCATTTCACCTCGCTTGTCACATTCAACAACATATTGATAATGTTAGGTAGGTTTTTCGTTCCAACACTTTCGAAGAAAAAACACTCAGTGTGCTGACTTAATTTCATTCAATTACGTTTGTAGCATCCAGACGGCGTGAGAGCGAAGCATATGAATTTTTGCCACAGAAGGGGTAAATATTGTGCTTCTAGGTAGGAATGAAAAAGGCTAAAAGATTATAAAAATTTTATGCACTTTGTAGGACAACTCACTGGCCAATTTTACATGGAAGCCACTGTTTCGGGCGGACAATTTGTCGGAAGCTAGGATTCTAGTGACAAGCGAACGGCTGGACGGAAGCTAATGTGCTTGAAATTATAAGATTGATTCCTTTCATTTCGCATTTGTGCCTAATTGCCTCCAGTCTGAGAAGTGTCTACTTGACACACGAGTTTTATTCAAGTAGGGGAAATAAAAATTATACTATGCAGTTATAATCATGAGAAAACTTTGCGGGATATGGCGAGGGTAAACGCACTTTATTTTCACTAGTCCTTTATGTTTATTGGCACAATAACAAAAAAATTCAACATTACAGAATAAATTACATATCCGACTATAGACACATTTTGCAGTAGGAATTGCTGCGTCTACTCTTGTAGCCACAGAAACGGAGGTTGCTTCACATGCACCTAATGTACAATGCTTGGCAATTTCGTGCAAGTGCTGAGGCAATTACCGGTAGAAGAATCATTTTTACCTCAGAAATTAGATGTAGCGCAATTTGGTGGGACAATCAAAACATATTAACACCAACTGGGTGAAAATGCAGGTGTCCGATGCAACGTCAGTGGGATGAGCCAGCCATTAGACGAGTGTGTCCGCAGTTTCAGTGATGGTTGGTTAAATATAGCTTGTTAGTTATTTATCATATGCATTCGTCGTAACTGATCCAAGCATGCCTGTTAACTCCATTGTGCAGGTGGGAAGTGCGCAAAGTAGTTCCAATAGTTTATTTCACATGAGATTGTGGACTTGAGCTTCATTTGCAACCATCTGCCATTATGGTTGCATTGATTTCAACCTTTGAGCTAGAACTCTACACTTTCTCCCCTGTCGCCAACGCATCCAGTTGCCTTCTTCCCCTACTAATGACATCGGCTTTTATAAGAATCTACTCCTGTGTCGTTAGCATCCAAAAGGCTAGTTCTCTGGGGTGAGTCTCCCTTTCAACTTGAATCAAATAATATTTCGTCAACGACAAATATGTAAATTGAGATTATTAATTTAAAATGACCAAAAACGACAACTTTTTTTTGCTTCAAAATAACCGAGGAAGGTTTCCTTTGATGAAATTGTATTGTGTGTGGTGTTTAATTCCCCATGTTTTAACATACGGCGTTTAGGTGAAAGTAATGCATTCTTGGGAGTTGTCTTCCACTTTGCTATTCATGAGCTTTAAAAGTGTTACAACTCTGAGGATATTAATGACATTGCAATGAGCTTCCTTACCCCAACGTTAAAATTGCATTGGTGTGCTCAAACTCAATTCATTTCTCGCGAAGCGTGCTTATTTGGTAGATTCACAGAGCAAGTTGGATGTGTGCACGAAGAAACGGATAAGACACAAAACGTGAACCCAACGTAAAAAGCATGACAAGCCTAAGAAATCAACTCGGAGAAACTAGGAAGACGTAAGTAACAGCTAAGTTCAATCCCTAAAAGTGTATCATTCAAGCAAAACAGTTGAAGTTAAAATTTATCCCAATCAAAATTAGAAAACAACATAAAAAACCTTTTTTCTTCTGTTATGACTGAATAGCAAGACAATGGAATTACTGACGAGGATAATTAGTTCATATGATCTGCAACGATATCTGCAGGCGAGATGATAATGGAGAGGCTCAGTCCTTATTCCGAAGGTGCATTACCACCAGAACTATATTTAAAGCAGAGACTCGTAAAAACAGATTGAATGGAGAGAAAAAGTTAATTAATTAGTGCATAGAAAGTGGCAACCCGTACAAACCCCGTGGGT